CTAAAAAAAAAAAAAAAATTCACAAAATAATCTTATCCATCCATCTATCCATCCATCTATCCACCTACCCACCCAACTATCTATCTATCTGAAAAAGTATGCCCAGGAAAATTATTCCTATCCTATCTCTATGAAGGAATAGGAGTAAAATTTGACTTCAGTTATGTATTTAATATTTTATTATTTTTTTTATTGACAGAGACCTTAAGTAAGTAGAGCAAAATGCTCACATATCTGAAAATATGGTAGATGGTGGTAGATACATGAGTGGTAGAAATATGGTGGTAGATACATGAGTGTCTGCCATAGTTTCTATAAATGTTCTCTGTGTTAAAACATTTTCAATATTTAAAGTTCTTAAAGGCCACAAGGAATACTATCTACATCTTGTTTGGAGCTCTGGTGATGTAGTGCCTAAGGCATTTGGCTAAGGTTCAGAAAATATTCCCATTTTTCTCTATTATCTAATTTTTTCTAATAAGTATGTAATACTTTTTAATTATATGGGAAAAGAAGAAAAATTAGAAGATAATGATGATGGCTGGTAATAATGAGAGAACACTTGACTTTTGATGATAGGTAATAAAGAACATAGGAGATGGAGCAGTCTAAGTGTGATGTCCTGACTTAACACAACCTTTGATTCTTAGGCCTCCAAGACCACAGAGGAAGGAGCCCACATTTACTGGTTATCTGTCCACATTCTTGCCAGGTGTCCCAGGAGGCACTTTGCAAATTTTATTTCAAGAACATATAGCTTCCATTTTCTTTCCAAGCCCAAACCCTCTAGTAGCAAGAAGGTTTTCTTCTCTGACAAGTTATCCAAAAATAAAGTTCACCAACTTTAGTTTCAGTGACTCTCAGTGCAATAAGAGCTAGTAACAGACCATTCTGCTGTTAGTTTAGATCGTTGACTTCTTTTTAAACTATGCCTCTCCTTTTTCTTCCTCCTTTAAACTCTCAGGGGATTTTCTAGGACCTAAACATATTGCTTGTGAATCAATAGAGGCAGAGTTGGAGCCTAAAATTCATCTGTGTGAGATTTTGCTTAAACTCATTTAGAGAGACATCTGTGGAAACTGCCTGAGGAAGCAAAAAATAACCACATGCTTCTTTTCACAATCCAACTCTCCTCCCTATAAATTACAAGTTGAATGTACAGAAGGAGAAATACCTTGGCTCTTCTATGTTACCCTTGAAATGTTGTTATGAGACCTTTTAACACAAAAGTGGAGGGAAGGAAGCTACTATGGATTTAGCCTTAGTCACTGATTTTATGGTGTAGGCAATAACCCATGAAAGGCCTGGACTTTGATGATGGCTATGATGTTTTAAATCATCATGCCAAGCAAGGAGGCACCAATAGATCCAGGCTCCTCTCCACACTGCTGTGGAGATGGGGTAGATCTAACTCACACATAGAAAAGCCTACTGGTCCAAGCTGGTCCCTATATAGACCATACCAAACCAAGCCAAATCTATTGCTGTCGACGTGATTCTGACTCAAGGCTACCTTACATGTTACAGCATAGAACTGCTCCGTAGGGCTTCCCTAGCTGTGATCTTTATGGAAGCAGATCATGAGGTCTTTCTTCCACAGCTCCACTGGGTGAGTTTGAATGGCCTGTTTTTCAGTTAGGGATTTGAGTACAACCTGTCTGTGCCACACAGGAACCTAATCCTTATAAAGAGTATAGAAATACCTTCTAGGGTCCACACGACTAGAGATGAGAAAGATAGGATGAACAAACACCCAACAAAAAACTTGTATTATAATGAACAATAGTGAGTTTTGCTTTGGACAAACTAGGGATTTTATCAGTGGTATTTTTTAATATAAATTTTATTAAAGTATAACATGCTTATCAGAAAGTTATCAGTAGCAATTTTTATTTTTAAGATAAGTTGTATTGACATATGCTATACTTTCTGAAAAATGAACAAGTATTAAATAAATAGCTAGATGAGTTTTCATGGAGGGAATACACCCATGACACCAGGAACAGTATATTACTAGAACTCCAGAAATGGTTTTCCTAATTCCTTCCATTCATGACCCTGCCTCCAAGCAAGGTTAACCAATGCCTTGACTTCTCACGTAAAGTTTGGAATTTTTGAACTTTATATAAATGGAATCATACAATATGTAGCTTTTTTATGTGTTTCTTCTGCTCAGTGTTGTTTGTGAAGTTCATCCTGTTTTTGAACACAGTGTTTCATTCTTGTGTTGTATCTGATTGTATGCATACCATAGACTTCATCCATTTTTAAATAAATGGGAATATGGAGTGTTTCCAATTCTGGTTTATTATGGAAATTGTTTCTTTCAGTGAGCACTTGTATAGGCATTTTCTTTGGGATCATACCTAGGAGTGGAATAGCTACGTGTTTTAATTGTAGTTACAATAATAGTAGACCTTAGTAGTTTCATTACTCTGTTGCTACAACATAAGAATTAAATGCAATAGTAAACCACAATATTCTAGCAGTTGATGATATATATATTGTATATGTATGTATATATATATGTATGTATGTATGTGTATATATATATATATATATATATATATATACATACATACATACATATATATATAACTCTGATGGCATAGTGCCTAAGGCATTGGACTGCTAACAAGAAGGCTAGTGTTTCAAACCCACCAGCCACTCCTTAGAAGGAAAACTGGGCAATCTACTTCTGTAGAGATACTGCTTCAGAAATCCAAGGAAGGGTTGCTATGAGTCAAAATGGACTTGAAGGCAGTGAGTTTGGTTTTGCTTAGATATATGTGTTATTGTTGTTATGTGCCATCGAGTCAGACCCGACTCACAGTGACCCCTCCTTGGGTTTCCGAGGCAGTATCACTACGGGAGTAGATTGCCCCATCTTCCTTCTGAGGAGTGGGTGGCTGGTGGGTTTGAACTGCCAGCCTTCTGGTTAGCAGTCAAGTGCCTTAGGCGCTACGCTACCAGAGCTCCTTAGAGAGAGAGAGAGAGAGAGAGAGAGAGAATGTGTTTTTAGTAGTAATAAATCAAACCAAACCAAACCAAACTCACTGCCGTCAAGTCGTATTCGACTCATAGCAACCCTTCCTTGGGTTTCTGAGGTGGTATCACTACGGAAGTAGATTGCCCAACCTTCCTTCCAAGGAGTGGCTGGTGGGCTTGAACTGCCAACCTTCTGGTTATCATTCAAATGTCTTAGGCAGTACACCACCAGAGCTCCCTTAGTAGTAATAGTGAATATTAACTTATCTGAGTATTGTACTATTATACATATTAACATTATATATTGTGGTATGTTTTTATAGTATTATGCTAAAATAAGGAGACTTGGTGGCATAAGAGTTAAGTGCTCAGCTGCTAACTGAAAGGTTGGCAGTTCAAACCCATCCAGCAGATCCAGGGAAGAAAGACCTGGTGATCTGCTACCATAAAGATTACAGCCTCAAAAACTCAAAAACTGGGCCAGTTCTACTCTGTTACATGAGGTCAGTATGAGTCAAAATCGACTCAACGACACTTAACAGTAATGTTATAATGATATATCCTTTAATGTAATTATATATCAGGAAGAGTAATATATATGTATAGTTCCAGTGGTGTTATTAGAATTACCAATTATTACTTAGCTTATGTATCATTTCACATTTTATAAAGCACCATGGTGTATATTTTCTCATAAGGATATAAAAAAATTCAGATTTTAGGAAACATGGTTAATTTCTTTTACTTTTCAAATGAAGGTATCAGCAAAAATGCCTGTGTGTATATACACACACACACACACACACACACTAATTTATTTTGCAAAATGTAAGCACTAAATCTGTTGTTGTTGTTGTATGCCATGAAGTCAATTCCAATTCATAGTAACTCTTCAGGACAGAGCAGAACTGCCCAGTATGCATAAATATTTACATATACTCAAATACATATGCTCAAATATTTACAGGAGCAGATCACCAGGTCTTTTCTCCTGCAGAGAGACTGAGGGTTCAAACTGCAGATCTTTTGGTTATCAGCTAAGTGCTTAACCATTGTGCCACACATATGTCACTAGTAAAACCATTCCAATTAGTAAAAATTTCGTGAAGTGATACTATAGTAGTTTAAGAGTTATCTGGAAAGCAGGAATCTGATAAAGGAGAAGGTTCTTTTAAGACATAACAGCAGCAAAGACCCAAGACTGGAATCCAGGTGCTCCAGACTGACTTAAAGCTTTTTCACAGACTATTTCATTCACCTATTCTGAGCAAAGAAGTTTCAAACTTAGTTGCTTCTCCCTGCCATTTATGCTGATTTCTTTTTGTTCTTTTAGAGGAGACAGTAAATGTTTGATAACTATCTTAAAAATCTAAATATACAATCTCTAACCAGGATGTAGTTTCTGCTGCTTCCTGAAAGATATGCCATTCAGCAAAAGTATGGCTCTGAGAGAAGGAGTAGGGTGTGGGCAGATGAGATGATCTCCTAAACATTTGGGGAAACCCTTGATATTTGTAATATGAAAATTATGGCATCTGAATGTCAGCTTCTATGAGTGTAGTTCCCCAGTTTTGCAACTATATTTTTTTTCTACTCTATTTTACCTGGAAGAAGTTCTGGTGGTATAATGCATAAGGCATTTGACTGCTAACCAGAAAGTTGGTAGTACAAATCCACTGGCCATTCCATGTAAGGAAGATGGGACAATCTACTTCTGTAAAGATTTACTGCTTTGGAAACCCAATAGAAGTTGCTGTGAGTCAGAATTGACTCGATGGCAGTGAGTTTGGTTTGAGGGATTTTTTTATTTTTTTTATTTTTTTTTTACCTGGAGACTCCTCTTACAACCTCTATGAATTTGTGCCAGCCAACTAACCACTCTGTCTTAGTTGTCCAGTATAAAACCAAATGAAATACTCTTAAAAGCCATTTGGAGTAATGTGTGGTATATTGGAAGAAAAGTCAATTGGGAAGTGGTATCATTTCAATCTAAGATTACTTTTGGGCCTTAGGTACTCTGAAGAAGGGTTTTCTGAGGAAGCAGGACACCTGATCTATAATGGTGAGTATAGTCCCTATTCTTTCTCCAAGACTTCTACCTGGATAGTGATATGGTTGTGTGTGTGTGTGTGTGCACATGAATGCACATACAAGTATAACAATGCCTAAGTGCCTTTAAACTGTCTACAAAACACCCATTAGGGGTACAAGGAAGCCCAGGAGGTACAGAAGAAAACATAAGTGCCTGCTCAGAGCCTACAGAATCACTAATACTTAAAGGTCATCTGTTAGTTGTTGTTCAGCTAATAACCATTTCTATATGAAATTGTCGTTGTTGTTGCTATGTGCCATCGAGTCGGACCTGACTCATAGCAACCCCTCCTTGGGTTTCCGAGGCAGTATCACTACGAAAGTAGATTGCCCAACCTTCCTTCCAAGGAGTGGCTGAGGGGTTTGAACCGCCAGGCTTCTGGTTACCAGTCAAGTGTCTTAAGGCACTAAGCTACCAGAGCTCCTATATGAAGAACTTCATAAGATGTGTGCATTTATATGTGGTGGTTTGTGGTTGCAAGTGCATACCCATGTGCTTACTCTTTTGACAAGGGATTGTGTTCATGACTATGCAATATTTAGGGCAGGTTAGTTATAGGTGAATGTATTATATCCTTCCCGAATCTATACATGAATGTGATTTCTGAGGTAATATTTATAGTCAAGGAGCCCTGGTGGCACAATTGTTAAGCATTCAGCTGCTACCTATAGATTGGCAGCCACTGGTGGCTCTGTGGAGAAAAGAACTGGCAATCTGATTACAGCCTAAAAAACCCAATGGGGTAGTTTACTTTGTCCTACAGGGTCACTATGAGTTGGACTGAATCAACAGTACACAACAAACAATATATTTATAGTCAGCAGTTTTCAAACATGTGGAAATCTGGTGTGATTATGTGGTTATACAATGCTAAGGACATGTGTAAATGTTCACATACACAGCTGTGTGTATGTGAGTACGTATATGAGTATATATACCCTAGCCTGCTTTTCTATGACCTTTGCCCAATTACTTGATAGGGTGCCCCAGCCATGGGACCAGCTTTGAAGATGACTTGACCCTTGGAGCAGAGGGTAAGAAACACCACTCTCTGAGGTTGTGATCAGGGAAGAGCATATAATTTGGATGAATTAAAGATGGAAGGGAAGAACTTCAGAAAGAAATAGCTCATTCCTGAGGCTGTATATATAGGGGAAGAGAAACCTCATTACGATATAATATAAAACACAGAAAAGGTCCTGTGCCCAGAAACATTCTCACCAGCCTATCATGACACCTGCTGGTCCATGGTTGGAGCTCTCTTTTGCCCCTTAAAAGGGAACTTAAAATCATCATTAGATTTGCTGCCCATACATATTTGAAACTATTTCTGTGTAGGGCACCCCAAGCACATAAAGCACTGGATGTAAGAGATGACACTTACAGAAGAATAAAGGCTTGAGTAAAGAAAGGATTCACAGAAACCTGTCCATGTCTTTTGGAACTTGTAGAGACTCGAATGGTGGAACAAGAAGGAGCACTAGTTTGGTGGGTTTCATACTCTTTCCCATTCAACACTGAGGGACTCTTACCCAGAACACCAGCCATGGATCAGAAGTATAGAGGCTCAGAACCAACTATTCTTTACTATACTCAACTCTTTCCATGGCCGTGCTTGGTGATCTTAAGATACCTCAAAAAGAGTAAATTTTATGGAGTCCAGCTAGCCTTTAGTAGTGACAAAAGCCATTTTTCCTTCTAACTTGCTCATTACCTTTCTGTTCCTTGTCCAGCCACACTGTTGGCCACCAATGGCAAACCCTTCTCCAGGTAAGTGTTAGGTTCAATCAGTGCCGATGACTTCTCCTTCAGGAACCAATGAAATGGGGTAGGTATCAGGGCAAAAGGCATAAATATTCTAAGTAGGGAGCTAGATTTTCCAACCAGAACTGAGGGCAGCAACTGAGATTCCTTAGCAGAGAGGGTGAAGGTATTTATCAGGGGTGAATATGCCCAGCAGAGGATTTTCTGAGGCCAAGGTGCTGACCAGCTACAAAATTTGAGTGACATCAGCTCTGATCCCTGCAGGAATTTCCTGGAGACAGCCCGGCCCTGCCAGCTACTGGATCTTGGCTGCAGTTTGGCCTCCAGCAGCATGACTAGTGGAACCAATAAGACTAGTTCAAGGTAGGTAATAAGATTAGCAGGGTGAGGAGGGTGAGGAAGGTGAACTGCAGAGGAGAACCTGGAACCATTGACTACTTTTTCTGGGATACCTTATTGGAACCTTTTATGCACTCACACATATGAGAAGTATGACCATATTTGCTTCAAAAATAGTGGGGATGCAAAGAAATCCACTGCTCACCTTGAGACCTGGCTCTGAAACTAACTAGTCATATGGCTGTGCTTAGTGATTCATCCTCACTGAGGCTTAGCCCATGATCAACTAAATCATATCTCTAGAGTGGGAGTCAGGTATCCATATTTTTTAAAGCCTACTCTTTCTACACTGGGGTGATTCTAATGTGCAGCCATTGTTGAAAAACACTGATCTAGTCCAATATCCCCCACAATTCACAAATACGGTAAAGTAGACCATGAAGACAAAGTCAGCACTTTGGTGGCAAGCGCAAAAGTAGAGCCAGGAATTCTAACTATCCAGCTATTAATTAAACAGAATGGTCCCTACTTGGATCAAAAAGCCCAGCATCTTTTCTGAGGAGAGAAACGGTGATTATTCAAAGGCTCAGATAAGCCACAGCTCCTCCTGCCCCCATTATTTGTGATGCATGGTTATTGAGTCCTAGCATCTTGCAGCTTGGTGTTCAGATTAGGATGTAGAGACAGGTTATTTTCATAGCAAGAGCGAAAGCTTGATCCTCTGCAAGACAGGATTCTGTCCTGGAAAGTGTGCTACAAAGGGACCTACCTCTTCTCAAACTCAGGATTTAAACATACTTATATCAATTAATTATTACCTCAAGGTGAAAATGAGTTTTATGTTGCTTATGAGCTCATTGACTAGTTGTTCCACACACCCACTGGGGCAAGTCCATTGACAAGTTGCACAGCACTTAGCAAAAGTCAGATATACCATAGGGTGTGCAAGGGAGAACTGACTGGTTAATAAATAACAAACCAACCAACAACTCACAGCCGTGGAGTTGGACCTGACTCATAGCGACCCCTCCTTGGGTTTCCGAGGCAGTATCACTACGGAAGTAGATTGCTCAACCTTCCTTTCGAGGAGTGGCTGGTGAGTTTGAACCACCAGCCTTCTGGTTAGCAGTCAAGTGCCTTATCCACCTAATACCTAAGGCATTTGACTACTAGCCAGAAGGCTGGCGGTTCAAACCCACCAGCCACTCCTCAGAAGGAAGGTTGGGCAATCTACTTCCATAGTAATACCACTCAGAAACCCAAGGAGGGGCAGTATGAGTCAGGTCCGACTCCACGGCACACAACAACAACAACATGCTGGCTTCTGGCCTAGACTCACAGCTTTAACTTCCTAATAAATAACAGCAACCATAAAATTTCTTTGCAATTACACTACTTTTTATTTTTTAAACCCCCTCTCTTTCATCTGTAATAAACTGTTTAGAGTAATATGCTAGAATCTCATTCTGTTTCTATAACAAAGGATGAATGTAATCCTCATATTTTAGAGAGAGAATTTAGGTTCCTGAGAAGGTAGGAGCTCTGGTAGCATAGTGCCTAAGGCACTTGACTGCTAACCAGAAGGCTAGCGGTTCAAACCCACCAGCCACTCCTCGGAAGGAAGGTTGGAAGGTTGGGCAATCTACTTCCGTAGTGATATTGCCTCGGAAACCCAAGGAGGGGTCACTATGAGTCAGGTCTGACTCGATGGCACATAACAACAACAAGAAGGCAAAGCTTTTCTCAAAGAATAGAGAAATGACCAGAAAGGAATCTGTCTCCTTACATTTTTATTACGTATTCTCGATTACTCTGTGTCTCATAGTTGTCCCCTATTTATCAAACTCCCGTTTTCAGTATCTCAGAGATTCTGGACAAGGTACAAGAAGATGCAGAAGATGTCCTCTTCAGTCTGGGCTTTGGCCAAGAGGACCACAAAGATACTTCTCGGATCCCTGCTCGATTTTTCACAACCCCCTCGAAGGCCAAGGGCATTGATTTCCAACTCTTCCTGAAGTCCCAAGTGAGGAGGATTGAGATGGAGGATCCCTGCCTAATGCTGGCTAGTGAGTCTTATCCTGCCTCCACTTTTCCCCTAGTCTCCAGGCGTTTCCCAGAACCACTTGGTTTTGAGCCAGTGGTGACTCTATGTGTGTCAGAGTCAAACTGTGCTCCCAACGGCTGATTTCAATGGCAGATTTTTTTAGAAGTAGATCACCATGCCTTCCTTCCAAGGCATCTCAGTTTGGACTTGAACTTCCAAACTTTCAGTTAGCAACTGAGTGTGTTAACCATTTTCACTGCCCAGGGACTCAAGCAGATGTTTCCAAATCTTATTTTCTTTTGTTTGCTACACTCAACTCTTTGTCTCTTGGGTCTATTTCCTTGTATTTTGTCTTTAGTGAAGATGGATAACTTTGGGTTCTGCTACCTTCTAGAACTAATCTTCAAAAGGCCTCCAATCATTACTGCTTCCCTTAGGCCTTCTCTCCTTTACCTCAATCAAAAATAAGTACAAGTTCTTTAAATGTTATTCCTGTTTGTTTGTTTTTAATTTCTCAGTTTGAATGATAGAATTCTCCTCATTGATAGTCACTACAGTAAAATCACTCCCACTTAGAGTAGTGATTCTCAAGGTTAAATATGTTAAGTCATGCAAGGAGTTTATAAAGAATTTATATTCATAGGCTTTACTTTCAAAGAAAAAGGGACTCAGAAATATTTATTTTAAACAAGCACTCAGATGATTCTTATGTATAATCCTTAGATTGCACTAGGGAAACAATTATTTAAGTTTTCCTAATTCCATACTGGTAGCGTAATGCCCAAGGCATTTGACTGCTAACCAGAAGGCTGGCAGTTCAACCCACCGGCCACTCCTCGGAAGGAAGGTTGGGCAATGTACTTCCACAGTGATACTGCCTCGGAAACCCAAGGAGGGGTTGCTATGACTCAGAGCCAACTAGACAATAGTGGGTTGTTTTGTTTTTGGTTTAATTCCATACTGAGGAAAGATATGGGAGGAACATTACATTCTATGGAAAAGAATATTCTATTTGATTCTATGTATTAGAGTACATTTTAAATTATATTCTTCTCTACCCCAACATGATGGTATTTCTGACAATGTTGTTTCAGATTCTTAGCATTAGATTTACATTAAAGATGGTAAAATCAGACTCCTGAGCTCACTATACTGAATCAAGTACTGGGTTGGGGTGTTTTTACATGCATTTTAGACAATTTTTAGGTACACTAAAATTTGATGATAATTATTGAACTTATTTTATGTGCCTGGTGCATAATTAGCTGCTAGATTCTGGAGGAACAACAGGTAGACCAGAGAAACATGGTTCTTGCCTGTAGGAAGCTTACAACTTAAGGACCTGTGGTTTATTACAAGGACCCCCGGTGGCATAGTGGTTTAAGTGGTTGGCTGCTAACTGAAAGATCGGTGGTTGGAACCTACAAGCAGGTCCATGGAAGAATGCTTCTGTAAAGATTTACAGCCTTGGAAACTCTATGGGGTAGTTCTACTCTGTCCTATAGGTCACTATGAGTTGGTATCAACTTGATGGCAATGGGTTTGGGTTTTTTTGGCTATGGTTTATTACAATGTTTTTTAAGCATATGTGTACATATGAATCACAAAGGGATATTATTAGAATGATTGAGATGCTGTCTGTGATTCTGCACTTATAACAAGTTCCCGGGTGATACCAGTGCTACTGGACTATGGATTACACTTTGAGAAGCAGTAGTCTCATAGAATTGATATTACTTATTGTCTTACCAGTTGCCATCAACTTGATTCCACCTCATGAAAATTCCATGTACGTCAGAGTAGAAATGTGCTTCACAGGGTTTTCAGTCAGTAGCCAATTTTTTGGAAGCAAATCACCAGGACTTTCTTCTGAGGTACCTCTGGGTGAACTTGAACTACCAATCTTCTTGTTAGCAGCCAAGCATATTAACCATTTATACTACCCAGGGACTCTAGAATTGATATAATCCATCTAAATTTCTCTACCCTAGTCCATTGCCCAGTAACTGCTATCTGTAAGATGTGCTGCCTTCATGAAGCCTTTTATAACTGTAAACCCTTGTCACTGTCCAGGAAAATGATATTGGTTTTGCCCTTTATATATTTTTCATGTAAAACGAACATTGTTTAGGATATACTGACAGCAGAAAGGATATGCTAAATCAAGAAGTACAAAGAAAAAATTCTTATCACATATAGAATTAAATTTGGAACCAGAAGAAAATACCTACTTGGGATTCAGATCCAGAAGTCAATAATGGGGACCCTGGGTGTCAGATATCTAGACCAGAGACATTAGTGAGGAAATTTATAGCTTCTTTATGAATTCTGAGCTTAGAAGGGCCTTTAAAGGGAGAAATTTAAGAGATAATTTGTTCATAGTTCCCAGACTGACCACTTTCAATCCTTGTATCCAGGCAGGTTTAAGCAGGTGCAGACACTGGCCGTCACTGCCGATGCCTTCTTCTGTCTCTACTCTTATGTATCCAAGACACCTGTCCAAAAGTTCACACCATCCAATATGTTCTGGAATTGCAACCCAACTGATGTGCCACTTATTAGGATTATGTCCCCAGACCCTGAACCCCACTCACCCAGAGAGCGTCTCCGAAAAGCCATCTCCAAGATGTGCTTGTACACATGTCCCCGAGATCAGCTATCACCACCTCATAATTCCCCCAAAAGGAACAGTTTGGACCAAGTGGTGTGGGAAGTGATGGACAGAGTGAAAGGAGAGAAGCTAGTACTCCAGCAAGACTCTGAGTTTGGGCAAGGCCCACAGGAAGAGCCTATTCCCTCTATCAGGGATACAAAGCTGCACACAGTGATCACAGGATCACAAAGTCTGGATTCTAACCTGGAGGCATCCTGTTACATACCTTCTCTACCCAGAGACTATCTACAGTGGAGCAAAGACTCTGCACAGATAAGGAGAGAATTATGGGGTCTACAGACCAGCAATGAAGAAGCCTATTCAGCCAAGGATGAGAGTTTCTGGAAAAGAAAGAGCAGAGCAAGAAAGAGTTTGTTTCAAAAGGATCATGTGGCCAGAGATGTCAGGAAGAGCAAATCATTGGACCTGTCCATCATTCAGCAGAGGTGGAGGCAGAGCTCAGAAGCACCAGATCTTCACCAGTCTTCAAACCAGCAACTGAAGGACTCTTTTGATCTGGAGGAGGTGAGTGGATGGGAGATGAAGAATAACCTGGGAGAGAAAGGACCTGGATTCCTTCCTAGAAGATGAAAGGTTAGGACCCTGGGGCAAAGGGGATCTAGGCTCCATGTCTTTACCAAACATGCTCCTTCTTCGATTAAATTCAGAAATCTTTGGGAGTGGATTAATCTATAGAGAGTAAAAGACAGAGACACGAACTTGATTCTTAAGATGGCCCAAACTTCCAAAACTACTTTTCTAATTAGTCTTCCAATCTTATTTTCGTTGAATGTTCAAATCAAGCATGCCTGCCCCTGTCATTTGTGGGTTCCATGCAAAAGTACACATAGAGGTCAGTTTCACACAAAACTAACATTATTAAATAAAATGTGTTCTCTTCAACTGTGGCACATATGTTCACATAAAGACCTGGAAGTCCTGGTTCAAATCTAGAATTCTCAGATTCTTACAACCTCTGTGCTAAAATATGCAATGTAGGCAGAGCTACTTCCCAGCCCTGGTGTGCCCCCTTCCTACACCCAGATCTGTCCTGCACTATCAGGGGCCTTGCACACACATGTGTGGAAACAAAACCTGCATATCCAAATGTCACAGCTCCCTTACCCCATCAACAGCCACTCTTTGGCTCTCACTAAGGCCTAACAGTGTGTGCAGAGATGTCCGTAAGAGAAGAGACACCAGGTAAAACCAGTGCAAAAAAAAAAAAAAATTAAGAACTCACTGTCATGAGTCAACTCTGATTCATAGTGACCCGCTTTGGGTTTCCAAGGTGGTAAGTCTTTATGGAAGCAGATTGCCCAATCTTCCTTCTGCAGAGTGGCTGGTGGGTTTGAACCATTAACCTTCTGGTTATCAGTCAAGTGTTTTAGGCACTATGCCACCAGCAGGCTTGAGGTCATCTGGGCAGCATACTTTGGTATTCTGTGTAACCAGAACGTGTTCTAGCAGGGGGAATATAGGATCCAGGTGGGCACATGCCCTAGCTCCATCAACTCTTCACCCTTTGGACCCTCTAAACTCAGGACTTCTCTTGTCTGGGTTCATGGATGGTAGGGACTACCATAAAGCATTAAGTCTCTTGTAAAAACTCTCAATTTCTTGCCACAGAGAGAAATTGTGATATTTGCAATATAATTTGCATGTGTTCACTTCTCAGTGAACATAGGGCTTCACCTCAGCTCCTGCCTTCCTTACTACTTAGATCTCTGCCATAGCAGAAAAGGCCAAGTCTTTCGATTACCCTCATCCTTCTTTCCTGCCATTCCTGTATCTGTCCTTGCTTCTCTCATAATGCCTCTGATTTGGTCCACTGGTATCTTGGTTACAGGTGCAAAACAACAATGAAGAGGAGAGCCACTGGCCCAGCAGACCCAGATATCCCCACCTCTACCAAATTGCTACCGGAAAAGACTCAAGAAGTAAGTGGGATTTTTTCTAGAGTAACTAGTAAACCAGATGCCTTCAAGTCAATCCCAACTCATGGAAACTCCACACGTGTTAGAGTAGAACTGTACTCCATAGGATTTTCAATGGTTGATTTTGGGGAAGTAGAGTGTCAGGCCTTTCTCCAAGGTGCCTCTGGGTGGACTCTGTGCCATCCGAAGACTCCCTCTCTAGGGTGGTTGTCCTCCAAACTGGCTGCACAATTAATCACCTGATGAGACTTTTTTAAATACCCATGATGAAGGATCACATAACCAGAGATTCTGATTTCATTGTCTTAGCTGAAAACCAGTAGTTGGTATTTTTTTTCAAAGCTCTCCAAATGACTGGACAAAGATTTCTCTAAATCAGTTTTTCTTCGAAATGTGTCAGAATCGCCTGAAGGGCTTGTTAAAATGAAGATAGTTGTACCCCAACCATTAAGCAGGTCTGGTCAGGGCCTGATAATTTACATTTTTGTAGGTTCCCAGATGATGCTAATGCTGCTGATCTGAGAATGACAGCCTGAGAACTGTCGCTCTAGGGGAAATTCTGCAGAACCTTGATATTCAAAGTGTAGCATTAGCATTGCCTGGATTTTCTTAGAAAAGTACAACTTTAGTCCTTACCCCAAACTTACTGAGTCAGAATATTACCAAGATCCTTAGGTGATTCATATGCACATTGACGTTTGAGAAGCATTGTTGTAAAAGTCTTATAGCATTTGAGAGTTCGTAAGAATGGCAATCTATATCTTGTTGTTGTTTTTAATGTGCCATTGAGTCAGACCTGACTTATAGAGACCCCTCCTTGAGTTTCCGAGGTGGTATCACTACGGAAGTAGATTGCCCAACCTTCTTCTGAGGACTGGCTGATGGGTTTGAACCTCCAACCTTTTGGTTAGCAGTCAAGTGCCTTAGGCACTACACTACCAGAGCTCCTAATCTATATCCTAGCATTTGCTTTTAACTTGGTTCTAGTCAGCCCATAGCACAGGACTAAAGGCAGACTCTTCAATGTATCTCATGCTACATTTATTTAGGCCCTGAGTACATTCCTGTACCTTGACACTGAGGTATATATCTATGCCTTCTCTCCTCAAAACAGGACAACAAATCTCAAATAGACAGTCATCTCAGCTAAAATTTCTTTCTTCCAGATGGGAGTTTTGAGCACTAAATATGAGTTTCAAATATTACTTCTTCCAGAGGTATCCCTCATATCTTGGAACAGTTGAGTCAGAAATTTATTCTTTAAGCAGAAATTAGTCTCCTGTGGTGAGACTTTGTCTTGCTTACTTTGAACACATCATAAGGAAAGACCAAAAGTGTCATGAATTGTGTTATGTCCCAGAAAACATGTGTCAACTTGGTTAGGCCACAATTCCCAGTATTGTGTAGTTGTCTTCCATTTTGTGATCTGCTATAATTATCCTCTATTTTGTTATGTGTCATAACCTCTACATGTTAATGAGGCAGGATTAGTGTAGGGTGTGTCTTGGGTCACAACCTTATAATGACATGTGACCCAAGTCACACTCTTATTTGTCACAGCATTAATTAAGTCAGAACTTTAATCAACCCACACACTTGCTTGAGTCACACCTTTTATTTTACAAAATATAAAAGGAGAGAGAAGCAAGCAAGCAATGAGAGGGACCTCACCGCTACCAAGGAAGAAGAGCCAGGAGTGAAGCACAATCTTTCGACCTGGGGTCCCTGCACTGAGAACCTCCTAGACCCAGAGGAAGACTGATGCCAAGACACATGGAGATCTTTAGGAACCAGGAAGCAAAAACTGAATAGACAAGAACCTACCTCCAGAAATAGAAAGTGTTCTCCTCGAGCCAGTATTATCCTAAAGCCAGCACTCTGAATTTAGACTTCTAGCCTCCTAAACTGCTTTGCTAAGGCCATCCATCTGCTTATGATATTTCTGTTACAACCCTAGACAACTAAGACAAACACCTAGAAAAAGACATCATGTTTGGTACAGTAGAGGGTCAGCAAAAATTAAGAAAATTCTCCATGAGATGGATTGACATGGTGACTGCTCAAATATACCAAAAATTATGAGGATGGTGCAATGTTTCATTCTCTTCTATATACAGTCACTTTGAGTTAGAGCCAACTCAACAGCAATTAACCATAACAACAGATTTTTACCACTTATTCCCTAGGGTCACAGAGAAGATGTCATCAGGGATAATGTTTTCTGCCAAATAGTAGGGATTGAAATCTTTCTTGAATTAATTAATTAGGTCTTGCTTAGAGAGCTTTCTGTTTTGAATACTTTGGTTATTTACCATACTTTGTACCCCAATAGCTTTCTGGGTTAATATCCCAAAATTTCAGTATTACTTATTGTGGTAGTTCAGTTTGTATGTCAACTTGGCTGGGGCTTGTTGAGTGGCTGGGCAGCTGGATATAGTATTCCCCATGATGGGCCCGGTAATCAACTCCATGGTGGAATCTACTATGAGCAGCTGAGTAGCTGCCTCAGGGATACGGACTGTTTCCTGTATATAAGCAAAAGCCTTGGGGAATGGTCTCTAGCTTATGGTACACTTGGGCCCTTCATGTAGCCGTGTTGTTGTTTAGCATCCTGCCATGCTATGCCAACATTGGGACTTACAATGGACTTAAAATAATGGCCTGCCGTGTGGTTTGGTAACATCAGGACTGTGCCTTTTTACTTGTCAATTTTGGGCTTCTCAGCCTCAGCAGCCAGCAACTGTCTGAGTGAAGAAATGCCTCTAGCTCCAGTGCGCTGGGAGCAGGAGGCCAAGCTGGACCCCAAGATTGAAGGGCTTTCATTCAGTCCCTAGAGCCTGGCATTTTGAAGTTGGACTTAAAGCCTCCAAACTGTAAGAGAATAAACTCCTGCTAAGGCCATCCCATTTGTGATATATTTCTGGCAGAGTGGCACTAGGTAACCAGAGCACTTGTCTAGACCCAAAAAGATCTTATTTTCCCTAAGAATTGTTTTTGTAATGCTCTGTGCTTTTAGGGTCCTAATTACTGTTCTATGTCTCTTACCCATTACTCTCATGTTCAGGTACATAGATTTTATTTATACAGTTCCAAACCAAAAAACCAAACTCATTGCCATCAAGTCAATTCTGACTCATAGTGACATACCCTCCCATTGGGTTTCCAAAGTGGTAAATCTTTACAGAAGTTAATCGCCCCATCTGCCTTCCATGGGGCAGCTGGTGGGTTTGAACCACTGAACTTCTGATTAATAACCATATGCCTTAACCACTGCACCACCAGAGCTACTTACATAAGCAAGCTCAAAATGTAGCACTTAGAAAAACAATAATTGATTATTCTCATGGTTCTGTGGGTTGAGATGGGGGTTCTTTTGTTGGCTTCGTCTGTGCCCAATTACACAGCTACATTTGGACAGTGGTTGGGCTGAACTGGAAGGTGAAAAATATGATCAGCCACATGTCTGGGACCTTGATGATGGCTCTTTTCATTAGATGTGTCATCATTCACTAGTCTAACCTATCTTTCTTACATGAAAGTTCGGCAAAAGCTGAAGCTGCAAAGTCTTGCTTTAGGGATCCATTGGCAATTGCACAATATCACTTCTGCCACAAATCATTGATCAAAGCAACACAGGCCAATCTAGAGTCAAAGAGAAGGATCTAGATTCAAAGAGAAGGAAAACACACTTCACCTCTTAATGAGAATGACAAAGCCACATTATCAAAAGGCTGGTGTAACGGAAGAGTTACTGTGGCCATCAGTCTATCAAAAACAGTGATTGTGATGCACCATAAGGGTTGAAAATAATTGGTTTCATTAAAGTCAAATATTAAAGACTCAGTGAAGGTGAGCTCTCATTATAAAACTAATTTCTAACTCAGGTTAGCACACAAACTTAACTACTAACCAATCCACTGCTGTAGAGTCATATCTGACTCATAGTGACCCCTCCTTGGGTTTCCGAGGCAGTATCACTGCAGAAGTAGATTGCCCAACTTTCCTTCCAAGAAATTTCAGTAGAAAGTATGGAGTATATGTGCCACAGCTGGGTTTCTTGACAAGACTTGAATTTACTCTAAAATACAAAGATTTGCTCAAGTACTATTTGTCCAGTAGATGTCAGGCTTACACTAGAAAATGCCAAGATGTCAAGTGTGTTAGCCTACATGCAGAATCTACATGATACACTGTTCTGGGTAACCCATGCAATAATGCCCAGGAGACCAGTTGTCAGAAACCTGACCCAACTTGGCTAAGTGTCAATATCCAGAAATATTAGAATCAAATTGCCAGGACAAAAGTATTAGGAGGAGTTACACATTTCAAGTAAGTAGATTCTATTTTCTGCCAGGATGATGAGATTTCATTACAGTAGGGAGATACTGTGGTTAGAAATGCTGCATTTCATTAATTCTAAGACACACGTATTTTCACATTCCAACGCCTCTGAAATCAGGGTATGTCTTACTATTGGCGGTGTGAACCAATTTAATGATCTTGTTTTGTCTTTGTAACGGAATAAAAACATAATTATTAATCTTACAAAAATGGCCTATCAGCATCAATAACATTCAGTAACTTTAGAAAGTAAATTTATTTAGTTTATCACATAAATGAGGAAATGCATTCTTTCTATGATTACCCAGAAGAATGAGATGTGCTTTATTCTTTGGCTGAGGCAGGGAGTCAGTCACATGGTTCCCAAATTCTTCTAATGTTCTACACAGTTGTTTGAACATTCCTCTACAAGGCTAAGAACAAACTCTCTCTCAATCTACTTTTCTATCATTCTTTAAGGAATCAAAAGAAAGGGGGACAGCTATGAAAACAACTCAGTACTGCCAAGATTAAAGGCTGTGTGGTGAATATGGAAGAGGGAGGTTCACTCACCACAATCAAAGGCAGAACTAAGTGACTAAGTGAAGAAGTTTCTCTACTCAGTTCTACTGAGAAGCAAGCCTACCTCTGCTTCCTCCAGAGTTTGTAATATCTTCTAGAGATTAATGATTTCCTGGAATAGCATTGAACCAAGTCACAGGTGTTCATGTACTACTCGTTACCAAGGCTGAAGGAGTGTGAATATGGGTAGAAGTGGTAGCAGCACTGAGAAGGCCTGTGCATTGTTGCAGAGTCTATGACTTGCACAAAAGCTGAGGAGGTGAATAGGAGTTGGACTCCAGCCCTATGTAGCTTGATATCCAAAACTCATGGGCCTTCATCTTCCAAGAGAGAGCTTTTTTTTTTTTTTTTTAATTATCTGCTAAGGGAATGCCTTTCTATAATTAGCACAAAGACACCTTTTTTGTTAAAAGAGGACATGGCCCCAAGCCATCAGCATTTTTCACTCCCACTCTCTTGTTCAGACTCTGCCAGGGAAGAGATCTTAATCTTCCTCCAACTTTTTTGGGGGCGGGGAATGACTCCTCATGTTACTCATATTTCCCATCATGCCCAGGAATTTCTAATTCACTATTCCTTCTACTGGCACTCTGCTTCTGAAATTTAAACGATTTGGCCTCTACCACATTTATAACGAGTTTATTAGAAGCTCTGTTATCATAGTGCCTAAGGCACTTGACTGCTAGGGCAGAGCAGGGAGTAAAGAAAGAAACTAGTCAAATGGTAGGTAACTCAAAGTGCTGTTTTTGATTTGTTGGAACCTGTGTAAGCCTGGTAGCTATAATTCAGCTCTTGGATGTAATATATTTCCCATGTGATAATATTAACAATAATAAACACATATATAGTGCTTACTACATACCAAGCACTGTCCTAAGCACTAATTCATTTGATTAAATGAGGTAAATTCTCTTTTTATTCCCCATTTTATAAATGATGGTACTGGGCACAATTATGTTTTCATACCATATGATCAGTGGACATATGAATCTGGGGATACAGTCTCTTCTTACAGTAAAAACTTACTTCTAATAAGTGAAGGTATGAGAAAAGGTAATTCACTCAGAAGCATGACAAGAAACCAAGATATGGGAACATTAATATTTAAGAATAGAACAAGGAAAAATATCCATAAAGAGTAGCCATACTGATTGGAAAAATTAAGTGGTAAATAGAAGTCAAGTGACGATTGTTTCAAAAACACTGTAATCTTTGGAACATATGCCATAGATTATCCAGTAGGAAAGCAAATGCAAAGAGGCCACTGGATTTGCGACTACGTAATCATCAAAAAGGAGCTCTGGTGGTGAAGTGGATAAGGCTGATAACCAAAGTCAGAGGATCAAACCCACCAGCCGCTCTGTGGAAGGAAGATGGGGCGATCTACTTCCTTAAAGATTTACAGCCTCAGAAACCCAATGAGGGTCACTATGAGTCAGAATCGACTTGATGGCAGTGAGTTTGGTTTTTTGACATGATACAGTGTTTCACTCATAAAGTTTGCAGTGGCCAATTGTTTCAGAAGTAGATGACCCTGTCCTTCTTCCCAGTCTGTCTTAGTCTGCAACCTGTCCACCACGGGTGACCCCGTTGGTATTTGAAATATCAGTAGCATAGCCTCCAGCCTCACAGCAACACACAAGCCACCACAGTACGACAAAGTGATAGATGAATCAGCAGGAAAGCTCCTTGGAGCTCCTTGGAGACTTCATGTCACTTACTTTGGTCATCTTGTCAGAAGGGAATGCTCCCTGGAGAAGGATATCATGCTTGATAAAATAGAGGGTCAACGAAAAAGGGGAAGACCCTCAATGAAATGGATTGACACAGTGGCTGCAATGATGGGCTCAAGCACAGCAAGGATTGTGAGGATGGTGCAGGACTGGGCAGTGTTTTGTTCTGTTGTGCATGGGGTTGCTGTGAGTTGGAGCCAACTCTGTGGCACCTAACAACAACAAATCATCAATAGCCTTGATAACAGCATTTTTATTTGTGTAACAGGACTTTAAAATAATGCTGTGAAAAGAGATTAGGATATGATGAGAAGAAAGCAGGTAAATGCATCACAAGACTCTAGGGAATGTGCTTTCTAAGATGGGGAAGGCTTAAGCATACTTATTTGCTGAAGGAAAAGAATCAATAGTGAGGGAATGGTGATGATTCAGAAGGTAAGGGATAATGATGGTGTGAGAATTGAGATGAGTTGAGATCCAAAACACTTTTGGAGCGGTTATCCATGAACCAGAAATACATATCTTCGTCTGAGATGAGAGGAAAGGAGGAAGGGTGAATGAATATATGGATATAGCTGTATCTGTCACCAGGAGAAAAAGAAAGTCAAAGAAATGTCTGCAGATTGGTTTCTCACTTTGTGTTGTAGGGCGATTTGTAAAAAGTGTGCTCCAGAGAATTTGAGAATAGTAAAGATTTGAGGAGCTCTGGTAGTGTAGTGCCTAAGGCATTTGACTGCTTACCAGAAGTCTGGAGGTTCAAACCCACCAGCCACTCCTCGGAAGGAAGGTCAGGCAATCTACTTCCATAGTAATACTGCCTCGGAAACCCAAGGAGGGGTTGCTATGATTCGAGTCCGACTCCACGGCACATAACAACAACAACAGTAAAGATTTGAGATTGTCATGGAAAAAGTGAATAAGAAATATTTATCAACAGGAATATGTATTAGTAGAATTGCAAGTGATTAGTATTAGGGCTTTGCTCAAGGTACAGAACATGAATTGGCACTGGTGGTGTTTTCTCTAGCAGTCTCAACAATCCAGGTATAAAAGCACAACAGGTAAACTCCCCCTTTCCCTGGAAAGGAGTTTCACCTCTTGATGAGAAGAGTAGAAATCCAATCACATGACTCTGTGATGTTGCTGTCACTGATAATAATATTAAAAATTATTTATAGAAGTGAGAAACATTTCCACAGGTGAGGTATGAAAGTTTCTATCAACCCCAATATCCGAGATTATCTCAAAAATTCATCATATGTTTCTTTTTAATTCCCACTGCAGGCTTTTTCCATCATCACAACAGCACTTACTCTGACAGCAGTGGCTTCACAGAAGAGGATGCATTGCTCCCAACATCTGGCTCCTGTTCCCTGGCCCTCCAAACTCCTGGATTCATTAGGAGAAAGTGGTACAGTGGAAAAAAGACTGAATGGACAGACTTGTAACCTATGTCCTGAGGCTCTCACAAACTGCATGCCTTAGCCATAGCACTTCAGTTTCTCTACTGTGTGGGTATTAGAATACACGAGACGGACCATGGTCAATTGAGCAAAAACTTAATTTTCTCCAGAGATTGACATTGCTCAGGACAATCAAAGGATTAAAGGACAATCAAGTGCAGGGATCAAGTGTTGCTGCTGGAATACCCTCAGAGGGCTCAAGCTAAGTGAGGAAGGTGAAAGCCCACCTTGAAACTCTGACACCTTAGTGCAACCCACAGAGGGATTCCCTCTGAGCCTCAGCTCATCTCTATTTAACCAATTGTCATTGAGAATATTCTAACTCTTGGTAACTCCATTTGTGTTAGATAGGATTTTCAATGGTTGATTTCTCAGAAGTAAATCTCCAGCCAGGGCTTACTTCCAAAACATTTCTGGGTAAACTCGAACCTCTAACCTTTGGGTTAGCAGCCAAATACATTAATCCTTTGCACCATCCAGGAACTCCCATCCCTACTTGCCCCAATTAAATTTCAGTAAATTCTCTCCAACACCAGTCCTATTTTCATCTTCTTGAAGTTTCATCTGAGGAGATCCATGCAGAGCTTTTCCCTTAGATCTAGCTACTCCCTCTATCTCAAACTTTGGGTCTTCATAGGAAAAGAAAGGGAATGGCATTCAAGGGCCCTTCTCTTGGTCATTGCACAAAATTCACAGGATTTTCTGCTGGCAGAAAACAATACAAATAAAAATATATTTTTCAAATCTTGGCATGTTTTTTTTTAAAAGGGAATTAAGTCATATTTTGTTTTAGGGGCTGTCAGGGAGCGGGGGAAGACCCCAGATTCCACAGCAGTGAGTGAGGTAAGGAACCAGAGGGAATCACCCATAGATCTGAGTCCACAAAGCAAGTGTGAGTTATAGGGTTTGAAAATTCATATTCATTGAAATTCTAGGAGATCTAATGCATAAGGATTTTTAGGGTGGTGCAAGTGCTTACACAGTGGTCAGATACCACATGTTTTAAAAATGGCTGCTTTAGCATGAACAGTGGCAGAGTTTTCACAGGGGATAAGTCACTAGGTCATACTGGGACAAGGCTGGAGTCTTCTGTGCATGTTCCCCAGGCCAAATCTGGTAGGAATTGGTGTATTCTTGATGCCTGCTTGCAACCTCTAGCTTCAAGGAAGAAAGTTACTAATTGCCAGCGCTGTGGAGGCATGGGTCAGATTACAAATCTCCCCTTGAGTTTGACAGTTCCCAATCTTGGGGCCAGGGGCAATGACCACTCTGGCTTCTTCCTGCTGAACAGGATCAATGTGAAAGATTAGCATGGAACTGTCAGGCAACTTGTTGCAGATTGTGATTGTCATGGGGATCTGCAAGAGGGACGGTTTGGTATCCTTGGATCTTGGGGAAACTGAGGATAAATAGCCTGAAGGATTGCAATCTGCAGGTAACATACTTAGTAAACAAGTTAAGGAGACATGGAAGGAAAATGCACAAGGTAATTCCTGCCAAAATAATAATCCTGAAAAGGGATTCCCTCTCCTCAACATTCTGGCACTGTGGTTCTGGACCCTTGGGCAGTTGACAAGGAATATAATCATGGTATCATTAAGGGAGGTATGGTTAGGGTGGCACACCAAGGGGGTTATAAACAAACTCTGCCTCCCCCACGAAGGAGTTTACCATGCATGCCCACAAAGGACAGGTGTTCATGACACTGGTGCTGTCACTCCAGCAAGGTAGATTTGGCTGGGGAATAGCCTCACACAGGTCATGTTCCAGTCAAGTTGATCCACAGTATAATTGGGTACTGAGGCAAAATTTAGGACTAGGTTGCCAGTTAACTCAACTTGAGATGGAGTTGCCAACTGGAGAGTGCGTAAAAGACCCACTTCTTCTTGAGCTTGCCTCCAGTCATAACTGCTTGGGAAAGTTGGACCAAATTATTTTGGTCCAACCAATGGAAAACAACAATGGCCCAAAATGTTTAGGCCAGGCAAATGTTGGCTGTAATTGGTGAGTCTTAGAATTTCCAACAAGTGAAATGATTAAAGGCTAATGTAACACACAAAGGGTCGTTAGAACATAAAAGACTGTAACAGCAAACAAGGAAACTAAAATCTGTAATCATTATAAAACACTTATCTTGTTTCTTCTTAAATAGAAACTTCAGGTCTTTCAAGGTTCTCACTACCTGGTGTCCTCAGGCTGGGGAGTTGCGCCCTGTTCTTTTCTTGGTGGTATCCAATGCTGGTTTTACTCTGGTGTAATGGACCCATGTTCTCACTCCTGCTAACTTGGTATGAGTGAATAGTCAGTAAAACTTCATACAGACCATTCCATCTAGGTTGTAGCTGTGCTTTTGGCATGGCTCTTCCCAGCACTTCAGAAGGACTCAATCACCTGGGACAAACTGGTGCAAAGGGATATCTGCAGGAAAAAGCATACAGCTGGAAGCATACTGGTTAATAGTAGACAAAAGGGATGACACTGTTTTAAAATATTTAAGAATAGTGAATTATTGGTTTAAGTGGGGCCCTTTAGGAATGCCAACCCCTTGAGCCGCTTTAAAGAAGGGTCTCCCACATAGAATTCACAAGGGCGCGATTTGAGCCTGCTTCTAGAGGCCACTCTAGTTTTTAATAAAGCAATAGGTAAAAGGTGAATTCAGGGTAAATTGTTTTCCTGATGTAACTTGGCTAAAGTCTTCTTCAGAGTATAGTTTGTCTTTTCAGTCTTTCCTGTGAACTGAGGACTCCACCAAGCTATTGGATTCTATTGGATTCCCAGGACATTGGATACTTCCTGGGTTATTTTAGAAATACATGCTATTCTGTTACCACTTTGAATGGACAAAGGTAATCCATACTGGGGAATTCTCTCTTGTAAAAGATCTTTGTTTACTTACCTCTGCAGTGTTCTTAGTTTGTCTGGGAAAAGCTTCTACCCATCCTGGAATCCATGTCACTCTCTGGCCTTTACCTAATTGCAGAGCTCTGTGCGGGTGATGATCTCCATCTTTTGCACTGATGTTCCCAAGGGAAGTGCTCATGCTCCCTAATCTCAAGCAGGGTCACCACTGCACACCTGGACTTTCAAAGTCTATGAGCCATGAAATGGCTGCCATCTGTGAATAGCTCTAAATCCAGGTTACTCAGGGGCTGGTCAAGTAGGTCAAGCCAGCTGGAATCCACTTCCTCAATAACCTGAATGGGGACTGTAGTCTTGGCCCTCCTGGGAGGCCCCATAGCCCAAACCTCAGGGTTTACTTGTTGGAGCAGTTCTTGGAAGTGCATGGCAGCCTTCAACACTGGAAGTTGCATCAAAGCCACCTGCAGGATCCAAGCCTTTTAGGGGTCCACAGTCACCTGCAATTCATCAGTTACAAAGATTACTTGTGCATTTAAATTAGTCAACAGATCTCAGCCACGAGTGGAATGGGGCACTCAGGCACATACCAAAAACTGTGGAACAATTGGGTACCCCCATCTGACAGTCCATGAGCTGTAAGAATAGTCGGTCCTGATATTCTGGTTATTGTCATTTTCTCCTTTGAGAGGGGGCTTTTCAAAGTGTTTAAATGGAAAAGGTGGCTCCAATGTACATCAAAATTTCAACTGGCTATCCCGCAACTTATATTGCAAACCAGGGCTCTTCATGTGAGATCAAAATTGGCTGATGGATTCCAATGGAGCCCCTGGGCCCACCATTTTTTATTCCCTTCAAGCACCTGGGTCATCTGATGCAGGGCTTTAGGTACTGTTTCACAGCCCAGTGCTATGCAGTCTGAACCCAGTGGGTCATGCAGGGCAGTTCCTTTTCCAGTGCCCCTCTTGTTGGTAGTTTGCACAATGCCCAGGTCTCAGCTTTTGATTTGGACTCACCACCATCCCAGAAAGGCCCATCATCCCTCTTACTAGTGTCCTTGGCTGGGGATTGCCTTCAAGGGTGGCAGCCAGAAGAGCTGCCTGCTGCTTCATCTTTTGTTTTTCCTTCCTTTTTTGTACTGGGTCTCTGTTGTTGAAGGCATTGAAGGCAATCTCAACAAGCCGGGAGGTATTCATACCTAAGCCACCCTTAAGTTTCTGGAGCTTTCACCTGATGTCAGGAGCATTCTGGCCAGAGAAAGTCATGCTCACTAACTAAGCATTCTCAGATTTTTCAGAGTCATTATCAGTAAACAGGCACTAGGCCTCTACTATCCATTCCAAGAAACTAGAAGGATTTTCTTTAGCTTCTGTTGTACTTCTTGGATATTTTTTAGACTTTTCTTTGGGGATCACTGCAGCAGTTCTACTATTAAATAAGTACAATAATGTTCTAGCATTCCTGCTCCCAGGAGATCATTAGCATCCCACAATGGGTCTGTTGCAGAAATGGCCTGAGCAGCTGGGACTCTAAGCCATGGAGTCGGATCCAATTCATAGCAACCTCTCCTTTGGTTTCTGACGTGATATTACTATGGAAGTAGACTGCTCAACCTTCCTTCTAAGAAGTGGCTGGTGGATTTGAACCATCAGCCTTCTGGTTAGCAGTCAAGTGCCTTGGCAACTATGCCACCAGATCTCCCAAATTATTCTGGAGGTTCTGGTTATGCGGTCTATTGGCCTCCTGGCAGGCCTTCTCTAAAACTATTTTTCTCTTCTCTGGAGTGAAAGAATACGAGTAGCACCTGACAATCTTCCAATTAGGGTGATGGATTGCAAAAAATGGACACAAACAGGGATTCTATCTTCTTTTGGTCATCTCAGTAGGCTGGGTTATGATTCTTCTAATTATATGAATCAGATGTAGAAAATGAGGTGTGGAGCCACAGGAAGCCTCCAAGATGTCCATTATGGTCCAACAGACATGGCATCTGTCTCAAAGGATATTGCCCTGTTGGAGTCAGAGCAAACCCTTGACCAAATTGGGCACCACTATGAGTGTGGGCTGGCAAGACCATTCCTGAGGTAGGTCCCAAAGAATCAAGGTCGAAAACTGGGAGAGAAAGTGGA